CTCTTAATCACTCAGAGGAAGTATACACTGCCACATGCACAACACTACAATGTTACACATGAATGTAAACGCTTTTCAATTACTAGATAGCTGGTTTTACTGATTATTCTACCATGTTCAAGTGCTCAATAGTTTTCTTTCAATCAAATTAATTGAGCCTCCACAATTACATGGCTAACCATGTGAACTCAGTCCTTCACCTCTAAGATGCGCTTTTTGCTCCTGCTTCTCTCGATGCACCTCAACTTTCCTCCAAGGGAGTCATTAAAGACTCCTGAAAATTAGCTAATTCGCTTTTCTAAATATTGGGATTAATATACTACTTTCAGTTTTTGTTTATCTTTAACTGCATGTTTGAGCTATTAGTTTCCATGATGATAATTTTTAAGCTACCATATTCACCAAACATATCACCCTCATTTTGATTCTGATATCGAATGGTAATATAAGGCAGTATCTTTCATAAAGAGAATATTAAACAAGACTAAAGTATTAATACAATTTGGCTCTGCTTAATTCATGAAAATATAGAATTACTCTAGCAGTATGATTAAGAAAAGTTGTTACAGGAGCTTTTTTCTCATTTTTGAAATTGGCAGGAGCTTTTTATGGGTCTTGCGCGATTTCATAAATTTGAAGGACTGAACACCTCACCATACAGATATATTAATAGTTCCATTTCTAGAACAGACAACTAAATCCATTCTCTACCATTATACAAGGAGATATACCAATAAACACGTAATTCAGATATGAGGAACTTGTATTTATATACGCAGGCCAGAAATAGATCACCTGTATGAACTAAGAGCTTTGTGTCTGCATTAACAGAGGTGCCACAAGAACAGTTTTAATATGAGAGAGAAAAGATAACTGATATCTGGTAATTTATTGGCTTGCACAGAAGATTTTCAGCAGTTTGAGGGGCCACAACAAACAGGTTTAATATATGGCAGAGAAGATATCCATAATTATTTAACACAAGAACCAAAACAGAAACCCATGGACAAGGAAAAAAAAAAAAAACCCAACAATTAATTTATATGCACAGATGAATTTTGGCAATTTGAGGTGAAATGGGGTTTTACGTCCTACTGTTCTGCTCCGAACTGGGCTAATGAAGACGGCCATACGCCATACAGTGTGCTGTGAGGGAAATTTTGTCCGGACAGCGGCACTATTGCCTACTCTTATATCGAATTCCAACTGTCAAGGGATATTTTACGTGCACGCCAATAGATACACAGGACCACGGTTTTTCATCTCATCTGAATGATTAGACAGCTGTCCTTGTCAGGCCCTTCGTCCTGAATCACTGACAAGGGGGAACAACACCAGAAAATCTGGGTGAACTTTCTCAGCCAAAGCAGGGATCGAACACCCAACCTTCAGGCTACTGAGCCAGCGTCTTACCCACTTAGCCATCGTGATACCCTTGGGATGAAGAAAAGAACCAACAGTAAGTAGGCACACCTTGTTTCCTATCATGGGATGATGGTCATGCTGGAACCATACTACAAACATAGAACAAAACAGAAATCCAGAAAACAATCCTGCAAATAACACATCACTAGCATTCGGTAATAATCTGAATATAATAATAAACAAAAGATTAAGCCAGTAACCCTTGTGTATATGATTATGTCGTTCGTTCCTGGAGTTTAACGTCCACTTCCAACAAGGGTGATATCGTAGACAAATGTTTCCTAAGAAACTTGCCAGAGGAAACCACAGAAATCAGCTTGATCCAGCTTTTTTTTTGGTATGACACAACGTCTTTGCTGCAGGGATGATTATGTCTAAATGTGTATGGATGATACCCTTAATGGACCTTTTGATGCAATAAACATCTATCTATCCATCTATCTCCATCCATCTAGGATCATGGTCATGCATGCAATGCTAGGAAGGAAACTTTGTCAAAGACATCTGCCTTTCTTGGCTACTCTTTTCTGATCCAAACTGTCAAAGCAAAGGAGTGAGGGATCTCTATTAATGGGTAAAAATCAGGGTTTTTTTTATCCTGTTTAACGACTACATAACACTTTCAGTGTCAACCCAAATCTAGCCAAACATGTTGGCACATCTGGCAACATGTTCTTTTTAAATAATTCTTTTAATAAGATTTTTATTAAGTAATAACCATTATTGGCTATAGCTGAATAAAATAAATGTGAGAACTTACTAGGGAGTAAACAACCTCTGTGATTTTGTTGTTCTTTTTAAATAATTCTTTTAATACGATTTTTATTGTTAAGTAATAACCGTTAGTGGCTATAGTTGAATAAAATATCTGTGTTGAGGTTTAACCAGGGAACAAACAACCTCCCTGATATGACTGTTAACTAACCTATAAATAACATGATTCTTATAACATTGAGGTCAAGTCGTCCATAGATTCTATAACCATTAACTCTAGGTATATTCAAATTTTATAGCCGGGTATAAATTATAACTTTATAATGTGAGCTCAAACTGAACAGTGGTGGTCTTAACAGTTACATCTTATACATGAAATCTAGTTGCTAATATGGTTTTAACACTAACAATCAGATGTCTTTAAAGGCACAGTATGACCCTCAAGGGCACTGGTTTCTCAACCCTTTTTCAGTCCTGGACATTTCAAAGGCACAGCATGACCCTCCAGGGCACTGGTTCTCAACCCTTTTTCAGTCTTGGACGTTTGAAAGGCACAGCATGACCCTCCAGGACACTGGTTATCAATCCTTTTCCAGTCCAGAACGTTTAAAAAGGCATAGCATGACCATCCAGGGCAATGTCTACCAGCCCTTTTCCACAACAGAATTTTTTTTAAAGCCATAGAATGACCATCTAAGGCTGTCGTTCCTAACCCTTCTCCACTCATGAATAATTGACCAAGGACCAATCTTCCTCCCATGATATGCCATGTCCATCAACAGTACACCAGACTTTAACCATGAGAATTGTGCATGAAAAATCTTAAATTTTTTTAGAAGTTGTACAGATGATAAAAACGGGTTTCTAATGACCATTTATTGTCCTGCTATTCACTGATTTCATAGTCCATTAATTTTATTGCTGCATTCAGGAACAGACCACACCCACACAAATATTGCATTGTCTAGACTTGCATCTGTTTCCTACCTCATCACGGATAACTAAAGATGTTTTTTAATCCTCCGGTAACATGTGTCCGCATAAAATAGGTTTACCATACATCTGATATTATCATTATTAAAATTAGTCTCCAGGATTATTCTTTACAAAAAATATATATTGTGATGATGGTGACATATGGTTTCTGTGGGGAGGCTAATTAATAATCAACATTGATAATCAGATCATCGAGAAACAATACCTGTGTTTTATTTAGTATACGAAATAAAATGATCTAGGGTTTAACTTCCAACTTGTCTGCACCAAACAGGTTAATAAAGACAGGACTTAAGCCATGCACTCGGCTTTCAGACAGTGACATTTGCATCTAATCTTCAGCGAATTCCTAACAAAGAATTTTTCAAAATGTGTCTGCCAACTAGTACGAAGTTGAACCTTGCTTTTTCTTCCTATCCTAACAACTAGATATTTTCTTTATCCTGTCATGACCTCCATTCTGCACCACTGAGGTGAAACCAGGCTGGAAAATCCTGAAAAACTGGGATCGAAAATATGATCTCCTGGTTAATGGTGAGCCAGTGTCGTATTCACAAAAATAGGTCGGGACTAAGATATGGTTTCATTTTATTATTTCAATAATTTGCATGCGCCTACGAGCCTTTAACAATTGAGGCAATTTGGAGGATCCATGAAGTTGGATAGGCGACTCTACTCCTTGTCACATTGAACTGGGGAATCAAAACCACGCCACTTGACTCAATGACAAACCTTACGATTTCACGAGCACGAGTCAAAGTTAAACCAGTGGAGCATCCAACCCACCTAAACATAAGGCATCAAGGCAACCATGGTTAAGGCAGGAATTTCTGCATGTAATTTTAAACATATGATTAAAATCTAATGGATCTGGATTCCTTATTACAAAGGACAACAGGACTTAAAACGTTTTAGTAACGACATACTGGTAATTGAAATGTGAAAAAACCCCACCAAACCTCCCCTTGTGAACATGTGCAAGTCATCGGCAGCATTTACTAAAATTAATAAGAACTTGGTATTCCCATCCATGACACTCTTACTAATCCTAGTCAGTAAAACTACTGTTAGATTCATATTAACTGTTTGTTTCTTAGTATCCTCATATAAAGATTACTACATTTGAAAGAACAAAAGTATCCCCCGACAAATAATGCTTGAAAAAAAAAAAAATAAATAAAATAATAAAGATTACTGCATTTGAAATGAACAAAAAATATCCCTCAACCCCAACAAAAAAATGCTTAAAAAAATTAAATGACCAATCATAGCATTAGAATAATAAAACCCTCCGTATACATAAAAATATATCATCTTATCATAAATAAATATTTCAACCTTTGCTGAAATATTCTGCATAAATATCAAGATTCAATTCATCCAATTGGATACAAAAAAACAACCCAATTTTCAACCATGATGTAAAAATGATATTTCCTGCCTGCAGCCTACTAGCCTATATAATCACCCGTAGTTCATATTACACACTGGTTACCCGTAATTTCATTAATTATTCCTTCCTCAATTACATATACTGTATTCTTGTCTCAGGACCGCAGCGGAGCCCACGACAAACCACTTGCTTACATAACCTCCTAATCGCAAACAAGCTATAAACAAAGAAAACGCTGTGATGTAAAATCTTGTAGCAAATACGAGGATTTCACACTAGAAACATATCATCAACGTACACCGGCCTGCAAATCAATACCCGGACAGCAGAAGGAGAAAAAGGCTGCGTTGTTTAAAGTTACACTGGTTTTAATTTCTTTGTTTAGAGCTCAACAAAACAAACAAATACAAGTCCACAACAAATCAACAAGTTGATGGCAAGATTTAAAACCCAACTTCTCAGATTAACTTACCTAATCTCATATAAAATATACACGACTATCCTCGGCTAAAATATATCACTGGGAGTAATAACTAGTTCGTTGTTCAATGGGAGCCAGTCGGCCACAAATAGATAGATTCACTGTTAAATGTAGAATTACCTCCTTCACTGAACGAAATGATGGCTGCTCAGTTCACAATGTCAGAATTCTGAAACTATTCCTGTCTTGCCTAGTTGTTTAGTCAGAAAAAGAGAGTATTTTCCTCTGCTAACTGTTGAATATAATACAAGCTAAAAGCAACTGACTTGATGGCAACAGTCCAATAACAATCTAGCTAGTAGCTACACGTATCAACCTACTACTGACTATACACTGTAAGGTCTGGCAGAGCACGCCACAATGATAATGTATTTTCCAGTTGTAATTCAGAATGCTGCCTGCCAGCTTGCCTTGCTACAAGCCGTGCTTTCAATACAGCTAAATACCCTAGTGATAGTGTTAACACGTAGTCTACATCCTCCAGTCACTTTACCTTCTATATAACATATAGATAGTAGAACAGATAACGAAGACTACACTACTCTTTATTCATTAGATTGTTGTTACCCAGTACTTCTTCCTCAATCTATAGCTAGGATACGCTTCAATGGTTCCACACAATCCAGTATTATAAGGTTTTAAGATTTTGTTTAAACTTTGCTTATAAATATCTACTCCCCTTTCATTAGGTCACATATAGTTTCTGTACTTATAATACTATGGACCAGGGTTGACTTATGTTACAACATCAGATATATATCTATTTTTTTTATTTAATATCAACTTTCATGTTTTTATTCATTAAATTTTTTCTTTTTTTACTCATTCACAAATTTTTAATTCACATCATAAAAAAAAGTATGAAATTGAAATATTACTCTCTATTTGTGGTCAACTTATAAACTCAGACTTTCATTGATGTAATAAATATATATAAAAGCTGTACTATTAAATATTGCTATAGCATAAGAACATTAATTTTTTCTTAAGAACAAATGGCATAAAAGGTGTTCAGTAAGTTACAGCATGATGGTATAACACACTATGGTATAACGACTATATGGGGATTATAGCATGATATTCCAAAGCAGTCTAATATCACACTATGGTATAACGACTATATGGGGATTATAGCATGATATTCCATAGCAGACTAATATCACAATGGTATAACGATTATGTGAGAATAAAGCATGATATTCCATAGCAGTCTAATATCACACTATGGTATACTGATTATATGGGGAATAGAGCATGATATTCCCATAATAGTCTAATATCAATCTATGGTTTACTGATTATATGGGGATTATAGCATGATATTCCACAGCAATCTAATATCACACTATGGTATACCAATTATATAGGGATTATAGCATGATATTCCATAGCAGTCTAATATCACACTATGGTATACCAATTATGTGGGGAATATAGCATAATATTGCACAGCAGTCTACTATCAGACTATGTAATATTAGATTATGGGGAAGGTGGGATATCTCACTATGGGTGTCAGAGAATGAGTGGGAGATAATATCACTTCTGTAGATATTGGTCAGTTATAGCTAAGTTAAAAATGCCATATCTCACTCACTATGGCATACTTCTCTATGATTTCACTACAATGTGGAAGTGGACCTTAAATGGAGTTATTTAACACACAAACACACTGTAGCTATGGTATACTAGATTGAGTGGGTGTTTATATCACCTCCTTTAGGTCAGTTCCACCCAAGTGATTTTTACACCTCATTAAACAGGAGGTGCCAATGTTCTGTGGTAAACCAACTAACATTTGATCTTATTAAACTCCTACTGTGGGGTAAAACTCCTCATATATCAATCAGCACTAATTGGCACAATTTATTCTTTCTTCATGCAGTGGCTATTTGTACCGACCTGTTATCCATCTACTGTTTACCATTCCACTGAAACGTGTGCACATGCACATGTAGACTACTTAATGTTTATTTGGCCCTTTCACTTTGATCAGTTTAATATTTAGCCTATTCAAATAAAGTCTGCGTGATTTGTAATTCTTGAAACATTTTTTTTTTTACATAATACCTGTTAAAATGTACTTAATTAAATTGAATAAATGTATATATAATCAAGAAAACAAAATCAAAATATCAACAGAAGATAACCTCCACGTTTCGATACAGATTTGAAAAAAAAGGTCTATGAAAAGATTTTAGTTGAGATAACAGGTGATCATGGCTTAACGAGAGAGAGAAAAATCAGGTTTAACCTCTACTCGACACAAACTAGGTCATTTCGGGACTAACACATGGTTCAATTATATTTCAATAAATCGCTTGCGCGTAGGAGTCTTTAGCAATGGGAGGAAACAGGAGTACCTGATGAAGACCCACGAGGTTGGACAGGCGACCCTATTCCTTGTCACGTACAACCAGGGAATCGAAACCACACCTGCTGACTCAATGAAAGATCTTATGATACAACATGGCTTTACGAGTTTCAAGATTAACAATATTGCAGTTTGCAGGGAATTGCTTAATCCCGCATTCTGAGACTAATTAATGGTGCTTTATTGCATATTATTCTATTTTTAACATTAAAAAGACATATCTTTTGCATTTGTACATAAAGCCCCAACATGATAGATTTATGATAAACCCTTTAGCTTAAAACCATAAACAATCAAAAGTATTTTATCAAAAAATATTAAATGGTTGCCATGCAAGATATGCCCACATTTGCAAGAGATGATTAGAGAACAAGCTAAAAAAGCAATTTTTCACACAATTAGGGGCCATAATCCTGGATATTGCAGTCCAACATGCATCAATATCGAAAGAAACCAAGATCCATGGATTATAAACATATATTTTAAGTTTTATCAAAGCGCATAAAATTGTAGAGTGTCCACAATTAAATGTGAACAGATGAATAGACACAGGCGGTGACAAAATATGTCCACATATTGGCATATTAAAACCCCATTCTGGTCCAAACATTATTCAAATTGATGAATTCTAAATTATGATCATTGGTTTCTGTTGATGAGTATATACCCATGAGGGCAACAGTTCATGCAAAAATGGCTAAAAATTGAATCTTTAAAAGTCTGTTAAACACTAACTGTGTACTATGTTTTTTAAATAATTTATTTTGCTACTCAAATATTCAACAAAATAATACACACTAAATTCTATTGTCTGAAACAAACATAGAGAGAGAGAAATGGGGGTTTAATGTCCACTCAACACAAACTGGGTCATTTCGGGACTAACAGATGGTTCAATTTTATTTCAACCATTTGCTTGTGTGTAGGTCTTTTTAGCAGTGGAAAGAAAGGTTGGACATGCGACCCTAGGCCTTGTCACGTATAACCGGGGAATCGAAACCACACCAGTTGACTCAATGACGCCTTCTGATTAAATGCGCACGCTCTATAACCATTTGGCCATCCAACACCCATGGAATAAATTTAAACCCTAATATAGTAAACACATCCCAAGATTCATGGAACAATTTATGGTTGTTATTATTACACATGTAGATATGTAATTGTGAAAATACTTAATTTTTGTATGCTATCTCCTTTCAAATCAGTTATATCAGCTTGAAAATGAAATTCACGCTTTTCGTCCCCAAAATTCGTAAATTATTTCATGAATAAAATTGCTATCAAATCAAACATTATCCACAATTTATAAAACATTTCAAGAATAAATTTCTTATAAAATGAAACTTAAATAACTGTTTAAGAAATTTGTCTGAAACATGACAACAAAGGATGTCATTGGGTTGAAAATGAAAGGAAAAGTTTGGACAAATTAAACATTTCATGTGAAGGTGTAAATATTGGCTAGTTTAACAAACTGTCGTTCCAGACAAAGAGAATTTATTTATAGCGAAAAATTTCATGAAATAATCAAACAAGGGGTAGGAAATGTTGTTACATGAGTAAAATGTTTATTTTCCCTATTATAAAACTATGTCCTGTTCTCCGATAATTCAGATTTGCACAACTTCAAATAATAAGGAAATGAAATAAAAAGGAGAGAGAGAGAGAGAGAGAGAGAGAGAGAGAGATGGGGTATAAGGTCCACTCAATACAAACTAGGTCCCTCCAGGACTAACATATGGTTCAATCTTATTTCAATAATTCGCTTGCGCGTAGGTTTTTTTAGCAGTAGGAGGAAACTGGAGGACCTGGAGAAAACCCACGAGGTTGGTCACGTACAACCAGGGAATCGAAACCACGCCAGCTGAGAAATGAAAAGGGGTTTAATGTTCTGCTCCGACTGAGCTAATCAAGAGAGGATACAATATCAAACAATACAAAATTATTTGGGGTTTTGCAAGCAAAACTGACAGATATGACAAAATTTTATCTTATTCGTATAATTTATTCCAATTATAGGCTGGAAAATGTTTGATGTATTGAATAGGCTTGGGAAGCAAAAGGGAGAGGGAATTGACTTCCACTCGAAGCAAATTTGGTCATTTCGAGACTGACATAAGGTAAATTTTATTATAATATTTCCCTAGATATATTGAATAAGTTTGGAAGAAAGGTTTCCTATAATCTGATATTGAATACCGGTAGGTTCGGGAAGAAAGATTTTCCTATAATCTGATAAATTGAATAAGTTTGGGAAGTTTTCCTATAACCTGATATAATGAATAAGTTTGGGAAGTGAGGTTTTCCTATAATCCGATATATTGAATAAGTTTGGGAAGTGAGGTTTTCCTATAATCTGATATATTGAATAAGTTTGGAAGATATATGTCAAGTAGTATCATATATTATGGCGTATATTGATTACTGATGGTATCAAGTATATGTCAACTTTACACAGTAAATAACTTAATTTAACTGTCTAGACAGCCCAAGAACCAATACATTCACCATCAGTTCTGATCAAGGCTATAATATTTTCCTACTAGCACTTTCATTTACACCCTATGCTTGACTAGAGAGAGAGAGAAATGGGAGAGGGAGAGAGAGAGAGAGAGAGAAAAATGGGGTTTAACGTCCACTCGACACAAACTAGGTCATTTTGGGACTAACATATGTTTTTTAAAATTCTATTTCAATAATTCGCTTGAGCGTAGGGGTCTTTAGCAGTGGGAGGAAACCGGAGGACCCGGAAAAAACCCACGAGGTTGGACAGGCGACCCTACTCCTTGTCACGTACAACCGGGGATTCGAAACCAGAGAGAAATAGGAATAGAGACCACGCCACTTGACTCAATGACAGATCTTATGATCTAAAGTGCATGTATTAAATCATTCAGCCATCCTACCTATCCCCACCTCTCCGTTAAAATAGAAAATATCTAGTGGTGTGATCATTTATTGATACATCAGCCAACGATGCCATTTATTGACCTATGTGCTATACATTGAA